ACAAGGCCTCTAACATAGCTTGCAGAGCTGAACTCGGTAGATTGACGAGTTGAAGGAAGAATCTGCGCCGGATAAATCCTTCGCAAATTTCAACGGAAAGTAACTTTTCCCAGCAATTTCGTATTGGCTGGTTTACCAAACTCACAATGGTTCAGCTGTAAATCCGATAAAAATTCAAGGCGCTCTTGGGAATGCGGCCTCGAGTTCTACCTTTCCAGGAAAGCGTGAAAAATTCTCAGGCCCCTAACCAACTCTGCTAAGTTTTAAAAGATCACAAGAATCCATGCTTATACGCATTGCCTCAGGTTAGTTTACTCAATGCAAAACGGTTACAGGAATGCCTTGTTAACCAAAGAAATCAACAAGGAGTCAACCCTTATTGTTACCATCTTATCGTAGTCAAGCAATGTCTTTAACTGTAACTGTCTTCACTCAAATAGGTAATTTTGTAACATAACAATAAGCAACGGAGCAAGTGCCTAATTAAGTGCGATTTAAGCCATCTGGGATTTTCAACACGAAAAAGAGCGTTTTACTTTATTTTAACTTTGATGCGCCAGTCAAAGACTTATTCTGAGATAGTAAGCTTTTTTATTATTATTATTCTTTACTGACAGAGCCCCTCAAGACGAAATAAACAGAAGTGATGACAAACAGTTTCAAGAAATATTGTCAAAAGAAAATGAGCTTCGTGTGCGAGTGCTTAGGGAAGAATTCAAACCGATGATTACTACATCTATTCGCTGAGAATTGCGCCGCGCTGGTTTGAAAATCGATTGTTCTGGTCTCTACGGAAACAAAAACAGCACTCCAGGCGTAGAGACACCATGAACAACACACAAGCCATTGTCTTGCCCAGTAACGGTTCTCTGTAATGACATCCGTGCTGCGATGAAAAAGCTTCATTTTAGTGTCTACCGAGGAGATGTGTACAAGAAATTCGTAGAATCACAGTTAACTTTCAAGTTCCTTAATGCTCCATGAAGTCGTTTGTGCTAAATCTTATGGGGAACGAGTGCTTCAAAGACAGGCTTGTCCAACATTTTCAACGAGTTCTACCACTTCTGAGTGAGCCAGAAAGTTCCCTGATTGGCCAACTTAACATAGATGGAACTTGGTTGAAATGCAGAATGGCTGGTTCTGGTTTTTCTCTGTGAGCTTTTGCACAAGGAGTGATCCCAGAATCAGAGGTGAGAGCATACGTCTTCATTAGTAAAGGTTGTTTTAATTCCGTTATCACAATTTTCTTGGCTACAATTAATCTGCTGGCTAAGATGACAATGTATCTCTTCAATAGAAAAATCGTTTTTTCTTTAACTATACAACATAATTAATCTTGAAATATCCCAAATCAAGTGCTATTCAGTTTCGAGATACCTAATCTAGAACTCCTTATAGTTATTCATTTGACTCTTCATTTTTCCAATCAGACCATTTCTTTTCTTCTCTTTTCTTCGTTTATCGGCGGGTCAAGGATTCTACTTCTTCTTTTACCTATTTATCACATGTTTGTATGTTTCAACACCTCTTTTTTTTCTATGTTGTACAGCGAGGTATCAGATCTCCAAGAGCCTATGTTCACTATGACAGCCTCCAAGATCTCAATCCTAAATACGTCGAGCAAATTCTAACCAATAGCCTATCTGATAGGGCAAATCCAACAGTTTTGCGCCGATTTCCTCGCGCTCTTCAGAGATAAAGATCATAAGCGACCTGTACCATGTGCCATCGGGGCCTCTGACAGCGGCAAATTAAAACGAGCCTGTTCAGCCCAGTGTTTCAGATTCTGCCGTTAAGCCGAATCGCTCGTGTTACCAAACAGAAGAGCTTCAACAAATCAATGGTTCATAGTTCAACAGAAGTCATCCTCCTCAACGAGGCATACACCAACCTCCTCGTCATAGATGATTTAATTGGAAGATCATTTGTCAAGTTGGTTTCACATCCCACGATGTAAAATGGAAGAAAGCACAGGTTTTCCACTGCCGTGCAAGTATGTATATGTATAGTTATAATGTATTAGTATGTCAACAGGAGATGGACTTTGGCGAGGCACACAATGACGGGATGAACCGAAGACTTCACAAATCCTCCTTTAGAAGCTTGCCGCAAGTTGAACCAGAGACCAACGAGTGCCTTCTAGAGCATGCCACAGATTGCATCGTTTGGGCTTAAAAGATGGCTACTACAAACCCCACTACCGCACAGAATGGTAACTAGGACCTTAGGAGAGCTTGAGGACGGTTTTAAAAAACGCTATGAACCGAAGACATCATCCCCTGGAAGCGAGCAAGACGCTCGAGAAGCCAGACATACAGGGGACCATCCTCGGAGACCCAGGGGCAGTTAGTCGGGTCGATAAAATGTTCGTGGTGAAAGTTTACAGTAAGGTCTCGATCTTACAGTAAACTTTCACCACGAACATTTTATCGACCCGACTAACTGCCCCTGGGTCTCCGAGGATGACAGGGGACAGAAGCGAGTGACTAGCTTTTTTGGTTCACAGAACCGTGTACAAAAGTAGTATCGACTTAAGTGCTAGTAAATAATTCAAAAAAAACTGGGTTAAACTAATTTTAAGGCCTTTCCACCACCATAGAACAGTTGTATCGTTAATGCTATGTTGTCAGTTTCAAATACCACGTCATTTTTACATGTTTTTTACAAAGCCCCATGATGGCATGATCATGCCAAGAAATTCTGTTATCAAATAAATCACATTGACTTTACGGATTTAGCTTACATTTGTCACTTCTTTCTATAGTTGGTTCTCGCATTTCATGTAGGGCTAAAGTTTTTTCGTTAAGTAGCACCTTGTCAACGCTGCCACGATTTTGATGAGATTCAAATCTTCGAGCGGCTCGGCTCAGAAGAGAAATAGCCGTTCTTCCCTTTTGGACCTAAAATTCGGCCAAATTGCCCAAATCCATTTTCGCGCCTCAATTATGGCACTCCTACCAAAGGCTCGCGTGTTGTATGTGTGGTTACGTCTTCTTTGTCATTAGAATACGTATCGGTTTTGACAAAATCTTGTTCCTGTGAAGAACTTGAATTCTCAGAAAGCCTAGAGTGTACGTCCATTCCTAGCTCTGATCCCCTCTCACCCTGTGCTTTGCTGGCGACCTCGCGAGATCGCCCTTTTTGATAGTGAACTCTTGCCACAGCAGAGCTGTGTTTCTGTTCCTCGGAGATCGCATCTTGAGCGATGCTGCTAAGTGTTCTAGAGCTTGCCGTCTGCACTATTTGGCTGTAGCGAGTTGGGTGAACATACTTGCCTGTTGCATGGAAAACCAATTTACTCATTACTTCTCCTAGCTTGTTATGTTGTCCTCCATTTCTAGTGACTAAAACAGAATCACAGTTACACTTGAGAGGTAGGCGAATGTGGTTGATGTAGCCAACTAGGACTTGCATACTGGTGTCTGTCAGGAAAAGAGAATCAAAAGCATACTTTCCAGCTGTCTTAAACAGTTTTTGGTCTATAAATCCGCCGTTCGTCCTAGCTTCGTGGACCATATCTAAGGTTACATATTGTTATGACGGCCAGAAATTTGGTACCAAACGATAATTCCAGTGGCGAAATAGTACCTGGTTTATCCCTGTATGTTTTAAGCACGCTCTCGTAGCGCGGCAAGTAACTCCCCACCACCACTAAAAGCTCTTCCAGCGTGGCCCAGTCCTCCTTTGCTTCTAAAGCGTCAATATCGAGTCCGCTGGCCCATTGCAACCTCATCATCTTTGAGACAGTTTTTCTTGCCCTTTTTTAAATACTTTTCTGCGGTAGACAGGCCTCTCCATACTGGTTCTAATGCGCCATTTACCTTTCTGAAATCCGCTAATTCTGCAATGGCGTCCAAGTAACCTTGGCGTCGCGCATGTGCGAGTTTCCATTCATCCTCCATTGTATCAACGAAAGTAGGAGATTCGGGTGAACATAGGCTAAAACCAACAACGTCAAATGTGAGCTCCTCTTCGTCTGCGCAACAGAATTTCAGAAACTTAAAACACCTGCTGACAAGTACTGTACTTGCCGATCGCTTTTACAACCCCCACCGCTGCCAGCTAGCCATGAGAAAAAACTCTTAGCAATGTTGTTTGTCAAGTCAAAAGAGCCAATTGCCCTCGTTGTACGTGAATTTTCCGATCATTGACTTCAATTTTTTTTTTGATATGTTCATGAAATAATTCAATTTGAGCTCTGTTTGGGTTCTCTTCGAAATAATGTTGCAGACGGTGTTTGCTCTTTAGGTGTTTTCTGCATCCTCTTTGTGTGGTGAATCCATCGTGATTACAAGTTTGCACTGGACAGTGAAAAAGACCATCACACTCATTCTCTTCTAAGTGAAGTCTTTTTTTTTAGGCGTTGCATTTGGTAACTTTGACTTGTTGACATCATTGTCTCGTTTGTTCATCTTATTCATTAGCTTCAAATCGATATATTCCTAAAGAATGCACGCACTTATACTAGCAAAAGGTTCCCCATTAGATCATCCTATCGGCCAATGAGATATTTGTAACTCATTTCTGCCCACACCTGGTCATTCTTGCCCCTTGCCCCATTGTTTCCCTGTCCGTATTTGGTAACAATTAATAAAAAGGACCAAACACACAAGCCTGAACTTCGCGGGTCA